ATAATTATTTTGACATCCTAGAGTATTTTAAACCAAAATAATTATGATATTTCCAATGCATAGTGTCGATAACGCACCTATCATGTAAACGCTTTTGAAAAAAAATTTTAAAAGTTCGCCAAAGATCAGAGCCAAACATTTTCTTTATGTGGGCAATAGATAAAATACTGTACTATTTTCAGAAGTTATTGATGATTTCTAAACATAATTTTATCAAAAAATGGAGCAATAAAAAATGACCTTACAGTTACTTGCTCTTTCAAAGATGCTATTCATAAACACAAACTTTTTATTAAATAGTTATTCTAATTTGGTTCCTAATTTTTTATTTATTGTTTGTTCAGTCGACAATTTATTCACAAAGAGACGCGTTTGCTTATCATACCAATAAGAAAAATTCCAATGTGATATGATTAATCTTTTGACTATTTAAGCCTCCTCTTAACATATACTAACCTATATTTAAGTTACTCTAAGAACAAGCTCATCCTCATGATTCTTGACTTAGATCTATGCAGCTCAAATATACTTTCAAAGAGAAAAGTGAGTGTAAGTTTCAAGTCAACGTTTTCTGCTCATCATTATAGACCATAAGATTTCTCTCCCACCTCTTATTAAAGAACCTATTGGTTAGGTTTAATTCATAGATGTGCACGACGGTCTCATTTGCTATTTAATTCAATGCTTATAATAATTACAATGTTTAATTGAAGGAAGAAAAATCCGACAATGAAAAATAACAAACAAATCGCAATTATGAAATCGAACAATAGGGTATCCTTAAAAAAATAAAACACTCTGTTGTAAATGTATAAATAGAAAAGAGCTTATTTACTAGCGAGTGATCATCATTGGAAAAGAACAGTCGTCTTTTAGAGATTTTAAACTTTCTGTATTTTGAATTAGCACAAAGTAGCTATAGAAGATATGCTAGTGTCACATTTCAGTTACACAAAGGGGCTACAATAACAAATTTTTACGTCTACATTCGATTAGTGATAGTTGAATAGATCTATCGGATGTGGAATATACAACTGTTTCATGCTTTAAATGCAAATTGAATGATAACACACAACTGGCAGATATTTATGATGTCGACTGTGCCCTGGTTTTTACAGACATGCTGGAAAGACATTTTGTTGATATAGCTAAATATCGTGAAAAGATATTGCATCAACAAAATGATGAAATTAACAATGATATTCCATTTCAGAAGGTTTATAGGTCTCTTTTAACATCTACCATTCGTCAACCTTTTATTAGCGCTATATTTCACCTCGATGGTGTTCCACTTGGAAAATCTAACAAATTAACTTTGTGGGTGCTTTCATGTTCCATATTAGAACTTCCACCTTCTTTACGTAATCGACATAGCAATATGATTGTACTTTCAATGTGGGTTGGAGTTCGCCAACCAATTATCAAACTTTGGTTACGTGAGTGTGTTCAAAATTTAAAAACACTTAAGTCATCAGGTATATAAACGAATAAATTATTTTAAAGCGTTAGATCCGAGTTAAAATCTAGATACTAACCATATTCAAAATATTAATTTTAGGATAATTGGAGAATTTATTTTAGTTCTATCAAAGTTTTAATATTCGCTAGATCAAATATATATCTGCCATATTTATGAGTAAAATGTGACTTTTGAGTTTCTCAATAATGTCGTAAGATGTAGAAATCATTTTTTATAGGAAACCACCTACATCAAACAACATGTCCTTGATATATCCATGGTTTTGTCTTTTCCACGAACCTTCTGAAATTGTTATACAGAGCTATATTTTGTAGCATCTCCATCTTGCATTTTCACAAATTCATGTTTAAGAACAATCAATTCACATTTTTATACATCTGAAATGATTGAACTGAGTAATGCTTTTTTCGATAGCAAGAGCCAGCAATTATCTCACAAAGCAGAATCTTGATAGAACTGTTTCTGCTATTTTCATTGTGTTCATTAAACACACATAGTTCATCATCATTGGAACAAAAAATATATAAAATTTTTTGTTTGAAAGAAAACTAGTCGAATTATAAATTTTCACAGATTTATTAAAAGCTGATTTTTGGAAAGTGCAATGCAATTATACAAGATAAAAAATGGATTTTAGTGTATATAACTTGTTTAATTATCCAATATTTGTAGATGTCCTTTCGTTTCAAAATTAATCGAAATTATCTGCTTTTATGTCCCTAAAACATATCATATCAACAAAGTTTTTCCCTTTTTAGAAATTTATAATGAAAAAAGGTATATTATTTTTCAAAACGGATAGTAATTGCTATTAATATTTGCTGAGACATGTAAAATTACGTCAGCTGTAACAATTGTAGCGTTTCATGAAGAAGAAGGCACTTTTTGCCTATTTTTCGTTGTTTTATTTAGGTTTGTCGATTCGTGATGGACAAAAGTGGTTTTTGTACTTT